TAGAACTATTAAAATTAAGGACAAATATGAGCCAAAAGATTAATATCGAGGCTATTTTTTAAACCAAAATGTTGACATCAGGAGTATTTGGGAGCCGAAAGGTGGATGAAATTTAAGGCCCTTCTTCATTTTTTTTTTAACAATAATTTTGTTGGTTAAGTTGAAAAATAAGGGCAAATATGTGCCCAGTGGGGGTGGGGGTGGGGGGCACAATTGACCTAAAATATAACAAATGGCAAAATCAAACCTTTTTGCGAACGACGAGGGCAATTTTGGACCTTTTTCCTAATAGATATATAATGGGGCCTTAAAACAAAATAAAATCTAATTTTCAACTTCAAGTCAGTGTTGCGAGTGGACAAAGAAGCGATTCTTGTAATAAATAAAAACAAAAATTCCTTGAATCAATAAAGGCTTGTTCTGGACCATGCCGCTAGCTAGATTGAGACTGTCACCTTCCAATTTACGTATAGAATGATTATTAGCCCTACTAACATTGACCGGTGATCAGTTTTAAAACTGTTTTTTCTATACTAATTGAATGGTGGTAGAGTGAATGAACCGATAAATGTTACTGGTTTCGGATGAATTGCTTCTGAAACAAATGTCTTATATATTCTATAGATTAATACACATGCACATCGATCACTTTGATTAATCAAGTTGTTGATTTATTTCAGAAATTATATATAGCTATTAAGTATGTCAATTCCACTCTCATATTACACAAGGTGCTTATTCATTAGTATATATTGCAAAGAAACATTAAAGTTACATACATTGTCCCTTTATTTTATTCGGAGTAAAGTATTATTCCAACGCTTTCATAAGACGTTAGTGAGCACCTAACGGGCTGCAAACAACTTTCAGAATCACATTTTTAAAGGCATATAATATTATAGCCTAAGAGAATTTCCTTCGAAGTTCTGCAATCTGTGTCTTACTAAGTTGGAAGCCTTGGGTAAGAACGTCATCCGGAATGGGTGGATTTGAACTAAAGATTGAATTAGGAATAAAGACAAATCCAGGATTTTGACTGTTGAAAGCAGCAAGATAAGTAGCATTTTTGTGTCCGACATTATACTGGAAGTGAATAAGACCTATTGGGAACACAAACACATCGCCAGGATACAAAATTTTGGAGAAGAGACGACTCTTAAAGAAGTTTGCACTATCAGGGACAAGAAATCCTACGTACAGAGTTCCCTTCAGGACAGTTATCAGCTCAGTAGCTCGAGGGTGCGTGTGAAGTGGTGCAAGACCTTGAGGTTCCAAGTCAATACGACCAATAGAAATACCAAGAGTGTTAACTCCAGGAATTTTGTCGACAGTCAAAAACTTTGTAGCACCACTAGACCCGGGTGTGCCACTAACATTAAGACCTGAAGCAAAGAAATCATTTGCTGTTGCAAACTTTGGGTCTTTGCAAATCTTTCCATTCACGAAAACTGTACAGGTGAAATAAAATTAAGTTCAGCATATACAAAAACTATGCCTCATTCTGAAACAAATAAGTATTATAGAAGGATGATTAATTACCTGCAGCCTTAGAGTCGTTAACAGCAACACATATGTCCTGTAGAGGGTTGTTATCATAAGCATAAGCAGGGGAATTACAAATGAAAGCAGTAATAGCTAATGTTGTTATGAACCACCACATGTTCATTGTTATAGTAAAGTTTTGTTTTGATTTTTTTCCAAACAATCTGAAAGGTGTGACTACTTATACCAAGAAAAAAACTAAAAGGTATTGAAAATTCAGCATCAGTCTATTTGGTAGGGATGTATAGAGTTCCAAATGAACCAATTATATATATGTTGTCACAAAACTATGTAGAGAGATTCAGAGATTTTTCTGTTACGAAGAGGGGTAATTTTAGGCTAGAAAATAATAGGTTGGGTGTTGAGGGACGAATAGATAGAAGAAACTAGTTGGTTTGGCAAGAAGATAATGACATAAAAGAAGCATTTCACTTTTTGGAAAGGCATAATATAATGTATAAATGTGTTATTTAACATTGCTTCAACTGACATCTATGTTTTGCAATTTTACGTCTATAAATAAACGCTCAAACTTGTATAAAGTTGTACAAGCATCCTAATTGAAATAATATCAATCAGTTGATTCATGTATTTACTTGTTCTACTATATACAACTATACAAATTTAAGTATCTATTTGTGCACACCCAAAGTCGAAAACCATATATAGTTATCCATTGAAGTCAAGTTAAAGATCATAAAAGTAAAACATACGGAATAGTTTAGGCACAATTTTGACCATTCTCGATAAAATAAACCAAGCTTGAGTACTATGCACTATCTTAGCATATTTACCTTTTAGTTATAACAATAAGCATTACCAAACCTCAAACCATTGATCTCTAAAACAATTTCTATCAGAAATGGCCGCCCAAACGTTCATTAGATCTATTTTCGAACTTCAAGCAAGTGTTGCAAGTGGACTTCTTGTAATAAAAACAAAAAGCCCTTGGATCAATAAAAGCTTGTTCTGGACCATACAGTTAGATTTAAACTATCACCTTCATATTTAAGCAAGGATTGATGATTATTAGACCCTACTAGCATTGACCGATGATCGGGCACAGTGGTGCTTGTTACTTTTCCTATTTCGGCATGGATTGAAAATACTGGAAATAAAAAGAAATGATTCATTCCGATTGACACGAGAGTCCAACTACTTTCTTAGAATTCAAGTTATATATTTGAAAGAGATTGGTCTCCTTGCTTCTTTCGTAGTACACTCTTCTTCCCACGTCCAAACCTCTTTTCTCCACGACCCACAAAGATAAAATGTAGGGCCAATATCAACAGTTCAACATGGAAGAAAGGACTCACTAAATCACGATCAGTAGCTAGTACTAATCCAATAATATAGTCTATATATATAAAAGTTTTTCAACTTTTACAAGTGAAACTCCAAAATTGTGTCTTAGAGATCGAACTTATACAATTGGAACTCCAGGCAACGAGAGTCCTAGAATCCAGTAAAATATTGGCATAATACATAAATGTATCTTTTAACTTGGCTTCGTGTGGCATTTATGCCCTCCAACTTTGAGTGTGCACAAGCGTCTTGCGTGTGGCATAATACATGTATGACGATGCCACGTAGGATGCAAAATTTTCATATAGGACCCCACATCGAACGTATGTGTCTATTTGTTCAACTTTATACAAGTTTAAGCGTCTACTTATGCACATGCAAAGTCGAAGGGCATAATTGTTAGCTAAGATCAAGTTAAAGGACATGTTTATGTATTATGCACAAAAATACAAACTTCAAACTTATAGAATTCAAACTCCGGATAATGTCACAGAGTGTCAAGAATCTTAAAATTTTCAAAATGGTGTAATATTTAATCTTATGCTCCATTTCTAAATTATTTTATTTGTGGCTAATATATTGTTTAAGTCCCACATAAGTGGGATGTAATGAATTTAGACTCCTTATAGTTATATGAATTTGAGTAATGCTTCGTTCATAAACTAGCTTTTGGTGAGGCTGAGTTAGGAACATTATTCATTTCTTTACATATATATTTAGGCTTTTGTACTTCCTTTGGCGAGTTAATATCTCAGATAGTCACTCAGTTTTGAATAGTTCACTTAGAAAGTCAGTCAACTTTGAGTTGTTCACTTAAAAAGTCACTCAACTTTGTTTTATAACTCAAAAGTCACTCAACTCTTGGTGTTTCACTTTGAAAGTCACCCAACTATTGATATTTCACTTAGAAAGTCACTCAATCAATTTAAACAATATTTTTATTAAATCTTGTAAAAATACAAAAAATAATTAAACTATTTTTTAAAAATGATAACAAGATGCTTATTTAAATTATTATATTGGATTTTGTTGAAATATAGTTTTTTTTTTTTTAAAAAATAGTAAAACATTGCTACTGTGCGTTTAGTTTTAATTACTTCTTTATCAATTTCAACCTCTCTTTTTTTTATAATTTTGTAACATATTTAATACTAGTCATACAATTACTAGAACGGAAAAGGTTTTTTTTGGGTCAATGGTTGTACGTTTTTTCAGAAAATTATAATTAAATAATTGGAGCGGATCAATAAGATAATTAAAATAGATATCTTATTATTTCTTTAAAAAATAGTTTAAAATAAAAGTTAATGAAAAATTATTTAAATTGATTGAGTGACTTTCCCAAGTGAAATATCAATAGTTTGGTGACTTTCTAAGTGAAACACCAATAGTTGAGTGACTTTTGAGTTATAAAACAAAGTTCAGTGACTTTCTAAGTGAACAACTCAAAGTTGACTGACTTTCTAAGTGAACTATTCAAAGTTAAGTGACCATCTGAGATATTAACTCTTCCTTTGGCCAAAAGCTTTTGCTGAGTTTGCTTCTTAATATAGGGAACTGCTAGTGCTAGTTTGGTCCCTGACTCCCTAGTCTTGCCAAAGTAATTACTCCCTCTGTCCAATTTATGTGACAGACTTTTTTCTATATTTATTAACAATTTAATTTAAACGCATAATACATAAACATGACTCTTAACTTGGTTTCCGCTGACAATTGTGATCTTTAATTTTGGATGTGTACAAGTAGACACTTAAACTTGTATAAAATTTAACAAATTGACACATTCGTCCTACATGGTACCCTGCATGAAAATTTTGTTATTATGTCACGTAGGATACATGTGTCTAGCTACTTGTTTAATTCTATACAAGTTTAAGTGTCTACTTGTGCACGCCCAAAGTTGGAGGGCATAGTTACTAGCTGAAGCCAAGTTAAGGGTCATGTTTATGTATTATGCCTAATTTAAATATTCATAATGAGATGATTTATAATCACACAAACATTTATGACTTGTTTTAGACCAAACGTATATCAAGTTTCATTATTTAATTTGCAGAGGGTAAACTAGAACAGTGGCAAGTTAAAATGTTATATTTGCATTCCATTTATTTTGGCTGAATATTACTACTTCAATACTCTTTGTGGCGGATAAGATGAGAGAAGCAAGACTGGAATGGTTTGGATATGTGCAGAGGAAGTGCAAGAGGGTGGTTATAGAGCCACAGACGGGTAGGACGAAAAAGTATTGGGGAGAACTGATTAAACAGGACATAGCACAACTTCATATATTACCGACGACATACATGACTTTAGCTAAGAAGGAGTGAAGGTTGCGTATTAGGGTAGAAGGTTAGTAGGAATAGAGTGTTGTCTTGTCTTGTCTTGAGAAGGCTTAGAGTCTGTCGTAGGACTATTCATACCCTTATAGTTCTTGTCATACGTTGTTTATTATATTTTGGTTGGTCACTCTTTTTTTTTATTATTATTGCTTTTCTTTTCTTATTGACATATATGCTTTCTCCATTGTTTTCTTCTTCCTTTACTTGGGTTAGATACACTTGAGTCAAGAGTCTTTTGGAAACAATTTTTCTACCTTCACGAGGTAGTGATAAGGTCTACGTACACTCTACCCTCCCCCAAACCCCACTCTATGGAATTTCACTGGATATATTATTGTTGTTGTATATATACTACTAGTTCAACCTAGAGAGAAAAGACTAGCCTTCTATATACATTATTTCTATTTGTATTAGAGTTGCCCAAAGCTAGAAGGAAGATTTCGAGTTGAATATTCCAAGCTTTTGAGTAAGTAAGATGAATGGATTTGTAAGCATGAAAGAACTAGCTAGTTGCATAGATATAGATAGGGGTATACACGGCCGGGTTGGTTCGGGTTTTTCAAATATCAAACCAAACCATTTGTGTCGGATTTTTAAATTTATAAACCAAACCAAACCAATAAAACTCGGGTTTTTCAACCTCGGGTTTTTTCGGGTTTTTCGGGTTTTTCCGGTAAAGTATACATACAAACATATAATTTACTTTGTATTTCAAATATTTCTTTAGTCCTACCAAAATACAACTATTTAAGATGTTTCTTAAAAATATAACACAATATGATATGATTAATGACATTAAAATATCCAACAAAAATAATAATAATAATGAAATCGCGCAAAACAAATATTGCAAATTAACAAGTCATAATGAAAATGATCATAATTTAAAAGTACTAAATCATGCTAAAATTAAGTTTAATAAGTATTAGTTACATGACTAAATATTAAAGGAAATTAAAATTAGATTATGTACTTTAATTGTCTAAATCAATGTAAAACTAAAGAACAAATATTCAATATTATTGTCATTTTTAGTGTTGAATTGATTTTCTTTTTGCATGAGTATTAATTTGATTTTGATTTAAGCTTTATTATAATTACCAACATATGTGGACTATAATTTTTGTTGGTCTATTCATAATTCTAAGTTTCAAACTTGAAATAATATATTAAAAGATAAAAACTATCAAAAAGTATAAGAAATATTTAAAAATTATATCAAAGTAAATATTTTTATGTATAAAATAAAATTTTAAAATTATATATATAATGTCGGGTTAGTTTGGTCTCGGGTTGATTTTTTTTAGTTAAAACCAAACCAACCCAAATATAGTCGAGTTTTTTTTTCAAAACCAAACCAAGTCAAACCAAACCACTAGTGGGGGTTTTTTTTTTGGGTTGACTCGGTTTACGGTTTGATTCGGTTTTCAGTTCGGTTTTATACACCCCTAGATATAGATATAGAAAAAGGTGGAAATTTTTTCACCCTTCGCCAACAAGAAAAGCTTTGGTATAGGAGGTATCTTCAGAAATGAAAATGGAGACTGGATAAATAGGTTACATGAAGGGTCTCCCATTAACTACTGACACAAGAGCATAAGCTCCTATATCTTCCATCCCCATAAATTTTTTCTAGAAGCAAATGAAACTAATGTACAAAGTATTGGGTTTTAAAAGATCTGAATGAAAAATGAAGATTTTTTCGAGAAGATATTAAGAGAAGAAAGGGTGCAATTTGGTTTTAAAAGTTTTGAATGAGAAATGAATTGTTTTTCGAAAAAGACACCAAAAGAAATTCAATTTGGTTTAAAAAAGGTTGTTGGTGTAATACATACCACAAATATAATAAACTACAGTTTAAAATAAAATGAAAAAGCAAATCATTTAGGCTGAGACGCGGATATGTCGCTCTGATTAAGGGGATTCAAGCCCATTGTGGTATAATCTACACCAATACAACAGTATCACTCTTGAATTGTCCTCTTCGGGATACAACAGCCCAACAACATCGTACTACTCAAGCTAACTCCAGATTAGTTTAAGAGTCCAAAGGTCCAAAAAAGGAACGTCATCCTTCAACATATAAATACTCTTTTTTATATAGTCAATGTAGTTGAAGACTTAGGGCCCGTTTGGTCATGCGATATGGTATCATGAGATGAAATTGAAGTTTTGTTTGAACATGCGATATGGAATTTTTGTGTTGTATATTTTCTCATAAACATAAAAATCTTATAAGTTGTAAAACTATTAAAATAGCCCCAATTGTTTATTCAATCTTATCAAATAAACAAAAAATTATAAAATCGCATAACAAATTATTACAAAGTAATTAATTTGTTCTCCACTTAAGTAATTGTTTCATCTAACTTTAATTTAATAAAAAAAATTGAACATAAATTGTAGTGTACCAGTCTTTAATATAATTCTCCCACATAGTACGGACAATTTCCTCACGTTGAACTTGCATTTCTCAATCATGTGACCGAGAAGACGAACCAACATTGTTACTTTGAGCCATTTGTTGGTCAATATCATCAGCAACTATATTTAGCTCATAGACCATAAATATTTCATCACTTTAACAATCGGTTGGTGTGAGTTAAAGTGACTATATGTTGGTGAGAATAATAAATTTTATGTCGGTGAAAATAATAAATTTTAAAAAGTAATGATGTGATTATAAATTTTATTTACATATGAAATATATGGTTAATAGATATAAATGTATGGTTGTTTTAACAAAATATAAACTCGTGGATCAATTTTTGTACTAAAATATCTCAAATTATGATATGGAATTACCATATAATTCTATATCATGGATTTTGGAGAATATGGAATCATATCTCATGATATGGAATCATGAAATGGAATCAGCGTAAAATCGCATGTCCAAACGCTGATTCCATCTCACAATACCATATCATGATATGATATCGCATGGCCAAACGCCTACTTAGAATATTTTCTTTGTCTCAACGCTCTATTTCACTACTACACACTACAATATTTTTTCACACTTGACATATTTCATCTCTCCTACCCAAGGAAGATGCATCACAATTTATAAGAGAAGCAGTCTTTCATGTAATCAATAAGTAGAATGAGGGTTAATTAGTAATGTGGGTAGATGAATATGATAGATGTTACATAAGTTATAAGAAACTAATGGTCATTGAATGGGTTGTGATTTTTTCGATGGATAGAATGTGCTACATAAGGGTGAATTAAAAAAAAATGAAAGCTCTCAACAACAACAACAACAATCACCTACACATGACATCAATTTTAGACTAAAAAAGGCACCCATTTCCAAATTTAATTGACCAAGATAATTGCATTATTATTTTAGATTATCAACCTGAATTTTTGTCCTTTTTTCCTTTATATCAAAAAATAATTCAGGAAGGTTGGACAGTGTTCACCGATTTGTTCAACCGGATTTGGGTTGTGGAATTGAAAGGGTAAAACGAAAGTGGAGTGTTTGTCTGTTTGATGATATATTGTCGGCTGCTTTCATCAGAATTGTAAAATTGTTGTAGGGGAAGCCATTTTTAATTGGAATTTGATTTGGGGGGGCGGGGCGGCTTGATTTGTGAATGGGCGAATTTTTAAATTAATTTAGGTTAATTATAGGGTGACCAATAGATGAGTGTCACGTCATTAATTAATTTATTTATTAGATTTAAATTATGGGCAGTTAAAAAGAAGGGTAGTATAGGATCTATAGGTATGTTAAGGGTATTTGGGGCCAATAGATGGACGAAGGGTAATTTTATACTATTTTCAATAGTTTAAGTATATTTTAAGCCCTTTTCCGTTTACTTAAATGGATCACTCATAAGTCATAGGTAAATATGAACTGATCTATTTTAAAAGCTCATATAAATATGAACAAAATAGGTAAAATGTGAAAATCCAACTCATAGATCACTCACTTATAATAAAAAGGAAAAGTTGTATGAAATAGCAAACTATTAATTTAAATTAAATGTTATAGTCATAGTTTATTTTAATTGCAATTCGCAGCAAACATCCCCTTTTTTTGTCATCTGATGTTGTATACAATTAGTCATTTTCGGTATACAATTAGTCATTTATACATGTCGGTATAAAATGTATAAAATACGTTTATGTTTGTATAACGCGAGAGAAAAGTGTATATACAAATACAAATTCATATATTTTCGTCATATACACTTATAATTATACAAATACAGATCTTATTATACAGATTACAATGTATAAATAAATTTATACAAAACTGAACAATTTGTATAAAATTGGATGTTTGTAGCGAATTATTCAAATTAAAAGCTCCATAACAAACATAAATTTTGTTATGAAGCGCAATTATGCAAACTATAGTTATAACATACAAATATGATTTTTATTTTTGTTATATGTGAACGTTGCTCTAATAAAAATCACTAATTGCACTAAAAAATATATTTATTATTTAAAGAAGCAAGCACTGTTGAGGTGGAGGTGAGACGAGGACAAGAAAACTAAACTTCTTTTTAATTTGTTGAATTTAAAAAAAAAAAAAAATTGGGGCTGGTGGGGGTAGGGATCCAGGTGAGGGTAGGGTGGGGGTGGGGGGTTAAAAAATATTAATTTTTTCCTTGATTTTTTTTTTTACAAAAATTGTGGGTAGGGTAGGGTGGGGTAGAGGGTCCAGGTAGGGGGTAAGGTGGGGGTAGAGGGTCCAGGTAGGGGCTAGGGTGGAGGTGGGAGGTGTGAAAAAAAAATTAACTTTTTTTTTGAAAAAAAATTTCGGAGAAGGGCCTAAAATGCCCTTTAAGTATCTGAATTGGTATAAAATTACCCTCTATCCACCTTTTGGCCTTAAAAAACCCATGTCGTCCACCTTTTGGCTAAAAAATA